ATATATATATATATATGACTCCGAAGCCGGTTTGAACCCGGTTGCTATCACGAAATCTAGTTTCAAGGCCTTCTTTTGTCAGTATCTAGTTTCTCAACATTTATAGTCTGTTCACGGTATTGTTATTATTTATTTATTTATTCTAAGAACTAAACCAATCAATAATTATATTCATAAACAGTAGAATAAAAAGAATACCCAGAAAACATTATGAAGTCCTAAAATAAGTCTTATTATCAATGTTACACAGTATCCTTAGATTACCTAGATATTTCAAGTAAATTTAACTGAACTATAAAAAAGCATTGATTTTTGCTATTCAATGAATCGTGAACTAATTTTTGTCATAGTACACCAACTATTTGATTATTTACTGACCCCTTTTACTACCAATTTAATAATCCACTCATTTTACACTCCTTTTTAATCTGATCAAGCATGAATTCAAATCAGTTATCAGACATTAGATTACACCTATTAACTGTAGAGGATATAGCTTTTCCGAAAATTGTTTATCATGTCAAATGTAATTAGTTTTTACTGAACTGTGTCAGAAGTCTAATAGCGAACCTCTACTGGTATAATTTAATCAGAAAGTTTTTAATTCATGTTTATATGTAGATATAGTAGAGGTGGGCGTTGACCATGTGAGATCATATTAAATCGTGTTGTGTTGATTTGATTTTTAGTACTTTAATGATTAATTTCATATGATACGCTTACTAAATAAAGACATAGTATAAAACCTAATGAAAGAGGTTTCTTAGTGTTTTTTACTATTGAAATCTACTTAATATTAAACGGTTCTTAGATTGTAGATTATATTTTAATTGTTCTCATTTGAAATTAGATTATACCGATTCGTTTGTTACTTTAAAAATATTTCATTCAAAATGACAAATGTGGACCAGTGGATTCCAACTTAGTTGTTTAAAGATAATGAATATACTCCTCTAAAGACCCGAAACTGTTATGTTCAATCCATAATGTGGTCTTAAGTTACCCACTGCTAATAATTTCCAAACTAGAATGAAAAGACGTTTCGGTGTACTTTATTTACCAGTTGTTATTTAACTGATGTCAATACATGATATCCATTTAATTGGATGATTCTCAGAACAATCTCATTTGATTTTTGTTCTGTTATTTGACATGGGAATTTTAATAACGCTTAAGATTTTGCGCGAATCTGTTTGTTAAACTGTACATTAACTTAATCTAATTAAACAATTAAATGGCGAAATCTCAGCACGGATTCGAAAAGCTCGTTTGGCTTTTGCCAACTTACGTCACCTATGGAGGTGAGTTATCCGTCAATCAATTAAACGACGAGTATACCTACGAATATCCTCTACTCTTACTGGCCATGTTTCACTGCCATAAAGTAGGACGGGACGAACTGCTGCGCAGTAAACACGTCCTTTGGTTGATAGACGGATATCTCGCCTACGCCATAAATGACGCAAGTTGGCAAGAGCTAGTCGAGCCTTCTGTATCCGTGCTGAGATTTCGTCACATACCAGACCACAAGGGCTGATGAGACTTCCAAGATAAGTGAAGCGGTCGACACACTCAACTACTTCACTCCCTATCACTAGTTCGGGTGTCGATGTAACCCAATCCTGAAGCAACATTTTGCATTTCGAGGGAGAGAATCGCACTTGAACCGTTTGCCCTAGCGGTGCGAGATGATAAAGAGACGTGAGGAGGATTAGTCATGGAGATAAGAGATGTATTAAGAGGTGTAGGAAGGATTTGAATGTGACCAACTTTGTCTCGTGTGCTGTTACGGGTATGAGGGCTGATGTCACTTCCCGGCTGCCCACACCGTGGAAGGGTTTTTCTTGCTTACTTTACTTACTTACGCCTGTTACTCCTAATGGAGCATAGGCCGCCGACCAGCATTCTCCAACCCACTCTGTCCTGGGCCTCCTTTTCTAATTCCATCCAATTCTTGTTCATCTTTTTCATGTCTATTTCCATTTCTCGGCGTAATTTGTTCTTTGGTTTTCCTCTTTTCCTTTGGCCTTGAGGATTCCATGTGAGGGCTTGTCTTGTGACGCAGTTGTGTGCTTTCCTAAATATGTGTCCTATCCACTTCCAGCGCTTCTTCCTGATTTCTTCCTCCGCTGGGATCTGGTTTGTTCTCTCCCACAGTACGTTGTTGCTAATAGTGTCCGGCCAACGGATCTGAAGTATTTTGCGTAGACAACTGTTAATAAACACCTGTATCTTCTGGATGGTGGCTTTCGTAGTTCTCCAGGTTTCCGCCCCATACAGTAGAACTGTCTTGACATTTGTATTGAAAATCCTGACCTCGGTGTTGGTTGACAGTTGCTTTGAGTTCCAGATGTTCCTCAGTTGTAAATATGCTGCTCTTGCTTTGCCGATTTGCGCCTTTATATCTGCATCAGATCCACCCTGTTCATCAATGATGCTGCCCAGATATGTAAAGGTTTTCACATCTTCGAAATCTTCTCCGTCAATTGTGATTGGATTGGTGCATTCTGTGTTGTATCGGAGAATCCTGCTTTTCCCTTTGTGTATATTGAGACCTATTGCTGCTGAGGCTGCTGCCACACTGTTCGTCTTCTCCTGCATATGTTGTTGCGTTTGGGATAGAAGGGCCAGATCATCTGTGAAGTCCAGATCGTCCAACTGCATCCTGGATGTCCATTGTATCCCGTGCTTCCCTTCAGATGTTGACGTCTTCATGATCCAGTCGATCACCAGGAGAAAGAGAAAGGGTGAGGGTAAGCAACCTTGTCTAACACCGGTCTTCACTTCGAACGACATTTTCAACTGTCCTCCATGCACGATTTTGCAGTGTAATCCATCAAATGAACTCTGTATGATATTGACTATCTTCTGAGGCACGCTGTAGTGTCGAAGAAGCTTCCATAGTGTTGTTCTGTCCACGCTATCAAGTTCCTTTTCGTAGTCAATGAAGTTGATGTAGAGTGATGAATTCCATTCAATTGATTGTTCCACAATGATCCGTAGCGTTGCGATTTGGTCTGTACACGATCTATCCTTACGCAATCCTGTCTGTTGGTCACGAAGTTGGGTGTATACACAGTCCTTCATTTTGTTTAACAATACACTGTTGAAGACATTTCCCGGTATTGAGAGAAGAGTGATGCCCCTTTAGTTATCACACTTGCTGAGATCGCCTTTCTTCGGTATTTTGATCAGGAGTCCTTCTTTCCAGTCTTTTGGTACTTGTTTTTCATCCCAAATCTTATTGAAGAGAATGTGGAGTATCCTTGCAGTTGCCGCTACGTTTGCTTTTAGTGCCTCTGCTGGAATGTTGTCTGGTCCTGCTGCTTCGTCACTCTTGATTTGTCTGATGGCCATGCTGATTTCTTCAATTGTTGGTGGGCCAACGTTGGTTGGGAGGTCCGTGGGTGCTGCTTCGATGTTGGGTGGGTTCTATGGAGCTGGTCGATTCAAGAGTTCTTTGAAGTGTTCTACCTACCTGTTTTGTTGCTCTTCAATGTTGGTGATTACCTCGCCTTCCTTGCTTTTCACTGGTCGTTCTGGTTTGCGGCGATTTCCAGAGAGTTTCTTTGTTATGTCATACAGTTGTCTCATGTTCCCTTCTCTTGCAGCCTTTTCCGCCGTCTTTGCTAGATCTTCCACATATTTACGTTTGTCGGTTCTGATGCTCTTCTTCACTTGTTTGTTTACTACTGTGTATTCAGCTTGTGCCTTGGCTTTTTCTGCTCTTGTTCGACTGATATTGATTGCTGCATTCTTGTTTCTCCTCTCTTGAATCTTATCCAGTGTATCAACAGTGATCCATTCCTTGTGATGGTGCTTCTTTTGGCCCAGGACCTCATGACATGTTGAAGTGATTGCCTCTTTGATCCCCTTACAGTTGCTCTCCACAGTAGTTCCTTCTCCATTGAGTAGATCATGAAAGGCCTGGAACTTGTTGCTGAGGTCTGTCTTGAATTTGTTGAGTTTGTTAGTATCCTGAAGAAAGGCCGTATTGTACTTTTGTGATGGTGTCCGTCCCATTGTTCAGTGCTTCTTGAGTTTCAATTTCATCTTGGCGACCAATAATAGTTTTTTCTGGTTAGCGTTTTTTTAGCGAGTTAGTTTTCTACGGGATGGAGACGCTAATCCCATGCCCAACCCTCCTCCTTTATCCGGGCTTTGGACCGGCAGTAGCCCCCGGAGGGACTCCAGGTAGAGTTGGGTTTTTCTTGAGGAACCTGAAAAGGAAGTCGGATTAGTGTTGGTCTTAACAACATGGGAGCGTGACCGCGGAGCCCTAGGGACAACTGCTTGAGGCTGGTCGCTCACGGCCCTTTTGTGGAAGTTTTTTAATGATTTAGCTCCGTTCTTCAAAGGGCCTTACCGCCGCAAACGGAAATCCGTGAGGTAGGGTGAGGTGTGACATTTTTAGAGTCGACCTTTTCTAACCCCACCCCTACTTGTGAGAAGGCAGCATCGTTGTCATGCTGGTTATCTGAAGGAAACCCCTTACTGCTGTCACAATTTTGTGCAGTCAGCAGTACGACTTCGCCTTCGGACCTCGGTTTTGCTGCTTCTAGTCTTACCGCTCTTTAACCGACCTTTCTGGCTCGGTAGGACCTTGAGAAACGATTGTTCCAGCTATTATAGATCGATTGGTTCATTACGATAAGCAAGTCGGACCACCACATCAAGGTAGCAGCAACGTTCGTCTCTTCATAGTCGATTTTAACCATGTGGATACTTATTGTCTTGTCATATATATCTTATCTAAATTATACTAGTTGATGGATTGATAGTATCCTAGATTTTTGCCAACATTAAATTCTATTAAATTCCATCTGATCGTTTCCCATCTTTTAATAGTAAACCTAACATTTTACTGCCTTTTTAATGAATATAGAAGAAATGTAATCAGTCCTACTCCATTACTTTTCTTTCTCTGATTTAAATAAATCCATATGAACGTTTGTTTTTTATAAAATAAATATTTCCATTTTTGGCATTTTCTTTTATAGAAACCAAGCAAACTGTCAAACAATCAGTAGAAAAACTACTTGATGAAGAATACAGTGATGAATTTTATGACGCCATGTCTAATTTGGATGTGACTGAACAACAATATAATGATTCACTCATTTCTAAAATCAATCAATCTACAGTACAAATGCCTAGACCATTACATTATAATTCATCATCATTGCATAATAGTGATGTAACTCAAGTGTCATCAGCAAGTTTAAGAAGTTTGGTGAATGTTGAAGAAACATCAGTTTCAGGCAGTGATTTAGATTTACCAAATGGATACACTAACAAAACTAATGTTTTTACATCTATGCCGGTAAGTTAAGGCGTATTTTAGCCATTTTAGAAAAAAGGGTGAGGCTATACCAAATCAATCAATTCTAGTGTAAACAGTCAAACATGACAACCCAACATGGGACCCAGGAAGACCTTGGGGTTAAGATTAAGATAGTCACGAAAATGCCATACTTGAGCATAAGTACAAATGAATAACTAAAATTATAAATAAAAAATTAATTGTAATCCCACCTAAACCTAAAATGAGTTCAATCTACACATAAATAAAGCGAGTGAGACTAATAAGGTTGCTTGTAAGTTGAAACGAAGAATTCCTATCACAAAATATGTATATTCGTTATTTGTTCCCCCCTTTCCTCTCCCTCTCTCACACACAAACCATAGTCCACTAAAGTTCCCAACTATTTATTCGGACTGCCTATTACAAACCCCTGCATGTCGTTTACATCAATAAGTAGTCAATAAACTCATGATTTATTTATAATGCATTTATATCTTTATGAGCTATATATGTTCGGCCACATCAAATGTAACCAAGCTTCTAAAAATTCCTTTTCTAATATGTTGTTTGATTGTCAAGGTTAGTTTAATTACATTTGCTCTTAGTGAAATGTGAAACTTACCTTTGAAAGTCAGGACAAACTTCATAGATCTAAAATTTATGTTTAGGTTGATCTTTATTCATTGATAGTATTAGATGCTATACAAGTGAATAAACACAATCAAAACGCCTAATGGAACTAAATCCTAAGGGACTTTTTATTCGCAAAACTCGGAGCTAAATGATCCCCAAACTGTTGCTAATGAATCGAGAAAGCATCAAGCGAAATTGCGTTATACCAATCATTGTAGCCCATTGAATAAAAAAATGGATGTCTGACAACTTTTATTACGTTGCGATCTCAATTAAACTTTATCCTCTGTACAACTGGTCCACCTCTCTGATAAGTCTTGGAAACTGAACGTTATGTTCGTTCGCCTAGGCTATTCTGTAACCCCCAAGCTAGAACTATACAGCGATCTGAACGATAGAGAAGACCCAAAGCATGAGAGAAGTACCTTACTCCAAGGTTCGTTTCAACGCAGAAAATATAGGGTTTTTATAATATTTTTAAATGTCCTTGGGTTGCCCGAAGATTCTGGAATGCTACTAAACATAGTAGCAGTATAGCAATCAGCCAATCAGAACCTCCACATGTGAGGTTTCACTTCCTTGATATTTTTGGCTAAAACTTCAAGTGAACGCTGATTGGATGAAACGCTTCTTAGTGTTTCCTGATCATTGCTTGTCTTTTGCAAGAAATTTTCTGGATCACTCCAACACTCTAATATTCAAAACTATTTATATCATCGTTTTGCTTTTTTCTTCCCTACCCAACAGTCTGATGGATATCCAAACACGTATAACAAAAATTCTACTACTGACCAGCATAATAACACATTGAAATATGGACAAATTCGTAAACGTCGAAATACCATACCTGTTTCACCGAAAATTGCATTAAATTTATGGGGCATAATTAAAAATGCTATCGGTAAAGATCTTGCGAAAGTTCCTATACCTGTAAGCGCTTCTATTTTGTTTCATTTATATTTTACTTAATAATATGATAATTAAAGTACCTCTCCTTTTACGTATAATGAATTAAAACAATTCAGGAACAACGTTGTTGAATGGCTGTATGAAATATGCCGGTGTATTGTTAAATACTTTTATCTCTTTATAAAATGGGGTTCAACAAATTAATTTGATAAACCATGCATTGTTTCGTTACATCCAGTTAGAATTAGGTCAGGGTCAAGGTTAAGTATCAAAATATTTCAGACTCATCTGTAATCCTTCATTAATGTACTTTTTACTTTACTTGATCCGTAGTTATAATTTAATTCTCACTATTTTCTCGCCATCTATAAATGTTTGCGAAATATAAACTATTCACACTTTAAATACGCTGGTACTTGAAATTTTGTACCTTTAATTACTTAAGTACACAGAGAAACTCAGTGAATTAAAGTGACAAATATTCTAAGTACTAATTCTAAGATTAAACTTATACAGATAAACAGAATGTGGTTTTTGTGGATATTGTAGTAATTTTCAATAGTTGAATTCATGAATCGATTAAAGCTAGATCATCATGGAAAACCTAGAAGCCATTTGTTAAAAACTGGAAAGCCTTTTATAGAACTTTACGGATTTAAAAACAAATATGAAATTATTTCAGGAAGTTATCGCAGTTTTTATTCAAATAAATATGGTAGTTGAAATCATGAGTCAGTTGAAGCTAGACCACCATTGAAAAGCTGGAAGCACTGGACGGCCGTTTTCAATGGTGGTCTAGCTTCAACTGACTCATGATTTCAACTTGTGAAATTTCTTAAACTCTCCACAAAAAACCCATTCTAAATATGGTAGTAACGTTTTGATAATCCACTTAGTATTAATGTGAATTGGAAAGTGTTAATGTTTTGGTCAATCCATAGCTCATGTGATTGCCACAAATTAACTTCGTATCAAATTACTCATCGTTCAATGATAGTTGTATATCTTTATATGTTTATTTCAATATATATATATATATATATATATATATATATATATATATATATATATATATATATATATATATATATATATATATTCTGAAATAAACATTTAGAGAGATTCCAATTCAAAGTCTTACACAATCTTAATATTTCAGGTAAATTTCAACGAACCTTTGTCATTCCTTCAACGAGCTGTTGAAGATTTCACATATTCTAATCTGTTAGATTATGCTTCACAGACAAGAGATCCAGTGGAACAAATGGCTTATGTTGTAGCATTTTCAGTTAGTTGTTATAGTTCGACTGCTTATCGTGTAGGAAAACCATTTAATTCATTACTCGGCGAAACTTATGAATGTGATCGTACAGATGATATGGGTTGGCGTTGTATTTCAGAACAGGTATGAAAATGCATTTTGTTTTTATCTGCTTTCATATATATGAATGTTTGTCCCTCGACTAAGAGATATAATCCAGTCAAATTTATATATGATGTTGTATTTTGTTATGTGACCTTTCTTACATGTACTTCTTGAAGCCTCCTTTTTCAGTATATGGCGTAGCGATTACCAAATTTTCTGTATTCAATTATCATCATCAAAATTTGTCATTATTTGATGGTAAATAATACAGGATTGTTCTTTATTCGTCTACATTTAAATCTTTACTATTGTTGATTGATTTCTTCTCTGTACAATTTTATCTTTTTTGTATGAAACTAGGTTATTTGTGTCTCTCGTTTGGTCTTGGGATTATCCATCCTTTTCTGTGAATCAAATTTCATATTAATTCCAAACCATTCGTATGCTAGGTCTGATAATCTTATTACTTATGCTGGGATTGATTATCTGTCGTGGTTACATTAAATTTGATTGACTATTTCTGTAATGCCTCAAGATCTTGACCCTAGTTTCTTCCATAGGTATTTCGACATTCGCCCTCTAAAATTGTAACGGTATTTACCTTGGAATTTTCCAATGTTACCTCAAAAATCGTGACATAATACTTGTTGTAACTTTTGACCTGTGTGCCCTGTTAATGTATACGTAATGCTACCGCCAATTAGAGAGCAGTGAATTATCGATCAGACCAATGACGCACAAAACCCGTGCCAGCATTTTAGAGTCCTTATCGGTCCTGTTTCATGCCTAGACCAGCCAGTTAAGTCCAGAACACCAATCTCAGCCTCTGGACTATGAATCATTTATTTCAAACATACTGGATTTATAAGCAAAGGTTAATAGTGGCCAGCAGTGGAATCCAGGACGCGCCTTTCGTCCTATTTGGGACTCGTCAGCTGGATGTACCTGCACCAAACAGACCACATCATACCGTAAAATAGGAAATAACATTTGCACGAAATTTAGCCGAAAGTGGCCGTGAATATGGGAGACAGTAATTGATAGGCAGGGCATAACTCAAGAATGGTAAATTGTATAAAAATAGTTCATAGGTCAAAATTAAGCTCATATTAAAAGGGATATGAATGTGAATAGTTTAGTTATTTAACAATTATATGATAAAAATACACGCATAGTATTGGTCCATAAATAGATCCCAAAAGTTACCATTCATTATGTTTATCGGGACATAACAATACTACATTGGTAACGCTGCAAATATTTATTTATTTTTATTTATTTCAACACATAGATAATGGTACAAAGAGGCACCAAATACATATGCGCCACACAAATCTCATTCGATATGTGTGAGGGCTGTGATACTGCCCGGGTGCCCAAACCGAAGCAGGTGGTTTTCTTAGGGGGCCACACCCCGAGCCTTCGACCCAAAGGTCTGATCCACAAGGTAGTGGAGCATCGTGAGGAGAGGCAGTCCCATGGAAGCCGGTGACCAACAATTGGTTCATTCGCCATTTGTTCCCGCAGGATACTGGAGCCCATGTGCACCATTGGTTTGGAATCCGGTTAAAGCGCCGGACATTCGCTTTTCGTCCTCTCATTTTCGTAAACACCACCCCCGCCACGAGAAGGCAGTGAGTAGGACTTCCCTGGCAGAGGCTATATACGCGTGGCCGTGTGAGAGTATTTCGAGAGGGAGAGCGGACTCTCCCCACTCTCGGCCGTACCAGGGCATTTGGGGGCACCGCTGCAAATATAGTAACTCGTGTGATTACTTCTCGAAAACTAACTTTTGTACAGAAAATCACTTTGTATACACGAGGTCTATTGCTTCATTTTTGAGAAAATTCTCATTGTTAAAGCAAAATAATACTGTTAAACTATCTGCAAAGTCTAATCGGTTGCAGTCCTGAATGTCAGCAAACAGGATTTATTAATCCTTACTAAAACATTCATATCCATCAAACAAGTTAGTGTCAGCAGTATTTCAGTGAATAAGATATTGTACTTTTGAAGCAAAAAGTACTGGGTTTAAGTGTCAATGTGAACACTATCATTCGTACAGATAAATTCAGCTGAGGAGTCCTAAATAGAAACGCGCCTCCTGAATCCTACTGTTAACTATATAATGAATATTCTCTTAAACGTAATATATATAATATAAACCGGTTTTTTTTATGCAATTAAAATATACTGCGATGTATAGTAAAAAAATATATTGGATTCCGAAATGCTGCAATTTTTGCTGTTTCTATCTTTTACCATTTAAACAAATGTAAATTAACTTTTAATTAATTAATTCACATTCACCAATCCCTCTCTCTCTCTTCATCACTACCCGTGAAATATAAATTGTGTAGATGTATGCACTTACTTAATAATGTCTGATATTTTTCATATATATTTAGTTCATTGTTTTTAAAATTAACCATTTTCGTTATAACCAAATAAAACAATAATCGAAGTCAGTATTTATGCCTGTTTGTGTGTGTGTGTATATATATGTGCGCATACGCGCTTGTGTTGCCGACACCATCGTTGTTGGTATTCTTATTGTTGCTGCTCCCGCTGTAATTAAACCTTGTCAACGCCTTATTTTGGCGTGGTTCTTTATTTACTTGAAACATACAAAACTACTTATTATTTATTTAAAACGTTTTTTTTTTAAGAAGATACATTCTATTTTTACAATTTACTTTATTGATGAAGTTTTTAGTCGTTATGAATTTTAATCGATATTTTTCTTAGAAAGAAAAAAAAGCGTTTTCTTTGTAAGTACTGTTTTGTTTAACAATACTCATCAAATATGTACCATCGTATTTAGGATTTAAGATTGATTATTATCTGTAGTGGTTTATAAAATAATAGATAATATTTGTAGATCATTATACAAATATTGAAAAGGTGTTATTGCTTTCTGAACTGTATGGTTTCGTTGTGAAGCTATTATTATCATTCTGAGCAATGTCATCAGCACAAATTTCAAAGCGAAGTAAGCTATTTGAATTACTACACAGCTTATTCTATCAACTTGTGTGGAATTTGGTTGGTTGTTGTTGTGTAGATTAGACTATTAGTGTTAGTTGTATCGTCGACCAATTTGACAATCATTATCATAATATTGTTTAATCGGTTTTAAGTACTTGATTTTCTATTACTGTTTGATTGATGTAATGAATTCCGAAGTGTCTTATTTGGTTTAAGGAGTATTGTAGTAATAATATTGATAGACTACATACAGCAATTTTTGTTCATAAACTTATACTTCTCTTAGTAATCGACTTTGAGTATTTCACATGTTCCTTATATATCTGTCTTTTCTGGTGTACATTTCGCTCAACTAATTTTGTTCTTTGAGACACTTTAGTGTCACAATAATCCCTTATTTGCTTGATTCTCTCATCAGGATATTTGTTCGTTTATCTTTTATTATGAATCATTTAAGGTTAGTCATCATCCACCTGGTTGCAGTCAGTATTGTGAATCATTACGACATAAATGGAAAGTTTGGCAAGATTATTTTTTGTCAACAAAATTTCGTGGCAAATATTTATCTATCAGTCCTAAAGGTAATTTTTCACATTTCTGTATTTTCTTATTTATTTTTGAGACTGATAAGCTCATTGATAAATGTTTATCAACATAATAATTTCATACAATTTTTCTCTGTTGATAAGACTTGTATAATACACAGTTTTTGGAATATCGTTGGCTATGGTGACACTTGAGGAGGAAGCCGAGAGAGGAAATTTAGAGTTGAAAGTCGATGTAGGAGGAATAATAGGAGGTTGACTATGAATACAGTGGTCTTGAGTGCTGTTAGAGGTGTGAGGGCGGTTATCACTTCCCGGTTGCCCACACCGTGAAAGGGTTCTTCTGGAGGTACCTGAAGAGAAACTTGGGTAAAAGGTGGTCTTAGAGACCTGAGAGTGTGACCGCAGTGCCCCTGTTACAACTGACGAAGTCGGTTACACACGGCCTTTTTGTGAGTAATTTTCGTGTTTGCTCCGTATTTGTAGAGACCTTACTACCGGAGACGGATATCTATGTGATAAAGTGAGGTATGGATTTTTAGGTTCGACCTTTTCTAACCCCACCCCTCTTTGTATGAAAGTATCATCGCTGTTATGCTGATTGGCTGAAGGAAACTCCTTACTGCTGTCACAATTTTGTGCAGTCAGCAGTACGACTTCGCCTTCGGACCTTGGGTTTGTTGCTTTTAGTCTTACCGCTCTTGAACCGACCTGTCTGGCTCGGTGGGACCTTGAGAAACGATTGTTCCGGCCATTATAGATCGATTGGTTCATTACGATAGGCAAGTCGAACCACCACGTCAAGGTAGCAACAACGGTCGGGTTGGAATATCAATTTCTAATGGTTTGTTTCATGTTGTCAACTGCCCTCAAATACCCTTGTACGGTCGAAAGTGGAGAGGGTCTGCTCTTCCTCTCGAAATGCTCTCACATGGACACACGTATATAGCCTCTGCCAGGGAAGTCTTACTCACTGCCTTCTCGTGTCAGGGGTGTAGTTTAGGAAATTGAGAGGACGAAACTCGAATGTCCGGAGCTTTAACCGGGTTGGTGGACATGGGCTCCAGGGCTCATAGGGAACAAATGGCGTATGAACCAATTGTTGGCCACTAGCAACTATGGAACTTCATCTCCTCACGATGCTCCACTGCCTTGTGAATCAGACCTTCAGGTCAAAGGCTCCGGGTATGACCCCTTAAGAAAACCACCTGCCTTGGTTTGGGCACTTGAGCAGTATCACAGTCCTCACACGAATCAAATGAGATTTGTGTGATGCATATGTATTGGTGTCTTCTTGTACCAATATATATATATGTTCAAATAAACATGTAAATGTTGTCAACTGTCAGTTTTAACTATTTCAGAGATCATATTTAAAAACTGTTCAGTTTCTTTCATTGATAGCTTTTATGGTCAACATTCACAGACCTCCTGCATCCATATTGTATGCTTAGTGTTTACAGGCTGGACAGAAAACATATGCCAGCTTTAAGTTTTCAGATTATACTAGGCCTACCTGGAATAAACGGTATTACTAGGTCTTACACAGCGTGTTTAGAAAAAATGCCTTACTCAAAAACTTTGGCTTTATCATTGGGAGATTTATATTAACAAGAATGGCTGGTTGATGTATGTTTGTATAAAAAGTACGAATTTTATTTTCAGAATGATATTAGTAATGATAGTTGGTACCTGATATTAACACATGATTGAATATATGAGTCTCTTTATATTTGTTACTTGTTGACCGTTTTTCAGTCATTGTAATTTTTTCACCATTAATCGTTGAATGAATATTAAATATCCTTTCTTCCTCCGTAAACATTCACAGATAAAAAGTGGTTCTTACTAGGCATTTAGTTTTTTTTTTCAATAACTTCATTGTTTCCTTTTTTCATCCCACGTATTTAATTTTTCTGCATTCTTCGCTTTTCGCATGTTAACAATCTAAACTCACAACAAACACCCATAACGTATGTAGAGGGAACAGGTAAAGAAACAAAGCACATACTAGTTTTTTCTCGTCACCTTTTCCTCTCTTGTTGTTATTATGTATTTTTGGTGTGTGCACTTTCAATCTGTTTGTATAGTTGCTCATGCACTGTATATTTTGTGTTCTGTTCATTTGCAAACATTTTTTACTCGCTAATACTTTTAAGACTCAATTATACTGATTAAGTGCTCTTCAGACATAGATAAGACTGGTCAAACTCTCAACTGAGATTGTTTTTTTCCAGCGGTAGTGATGGAGCTCCTAGACCTCAAATAGGACGAGACAGTAAATCTTGGTTTACTAGAAAGTAAGCGATTTACTAACCTGATATCCTTCAATCGTTTATAACATTTTATTACGTTATTTTTTGTTAATAATTTATGTATAAACATGTTATTTAGTTAGATATTAAATTTCTATTTTTCTGACTAGTATTCTTGTATTCGATCTAAGTTTATTTACGAGGTTTGTGTCAATATTCAGTCTCATAAGCAGCCATTACTCAGTCACCTTGTATTATTACACCATGTTATCTACCGGTATGCATTATTCTTCAAATCATAGTTCATAACATAGAGTTTACCCGGAGAGCAATACGACTGAACACATCTAATCTGAAGGAGCGCAAGATCATTCAGTAATCCCAGTTTTAAAGTCAGAATCCTACTACTCTGTAAATGTGTTTAGCTACGATTTATTACTTAATTGATAACGTTAGCTTTTAGACTGATGATTTGAAATATTAGGAAGAAGTTACTTTGTTATGTATCACACTTCTTTATGATCTGGGAAATCTTTTTACTGTTCGAAACACGTTCCTTACTCTATAAGAATAGTTATTCCCTAAATATCTCGAATAAGCTTAAACGAATGTCAGTTCTGTCTTCATGTTATTCTTCGAGTAATCAACTAGTTGCATACTTTCAACCAATGTCCCAGATTTCCATTATCTAGCTACCATGATTTTACTTAGTTTGTCTCATTGATATTCATGATTTATCTGGCTCTCAAAAATATGGACAGAATTTTCATTCCTAATTTCAGAAATTTAATTACTTATTACTTATTCATATTACGTAATCTTGTATTATAACCGTTTTATTAACTGTGTTCACATTTCCTCACGGAATTAGTACTTTTACAAAAACAAATTTTTCATATAAATATACGATTGTACAGCTTGATAATAAATTGGTTGAATAGAGATGCATTCGCTGAACTTCGAGTTTTAATTTTAATGTTTAAATGGGAATTTATCTGTCGATTATTACTTAAAGTTTAATCAGTTCTATTCATTTTTCCCGTATTTTTATACAATCTCTTTGTTGTTTCTGATGCGCAATCAAATCATCATTTACTTAACATCTATCTCCCCCTCATATTAGTTCATTTTTTACACGCGCGTTTATCTCTAATGCCAGTATCTTTCAAGTATTTAGACTGTTTATTAAAACTTCTTTTTGGACTTCACTTGTACATCCCCTTTTCTTTTCAATAATGACTATCAGACTATTTTTTATTTGCATAAAATTATAAAATGTCACTACTGATATGTAAAATATGGTAAACATCTGCCACTTTCAGACAACAAATTCCCATTCTCAATAAATTTATTATATAGCAGACCAGTATTGACTTATATAAACATGGAAATCAGAGTGAACACGCACAAACACATGCAGCACTGGATAGCCAATCAGACTATTCTACATAGATAATTCTTTATTCCATGTGTTTGACTAAATTGTTTATTCATGCTGTATATTTTATAGCTTCTAAAATACTTTGATTTATTTTTGTGTAAGTTATTGTAACTGAATAAACTATTTTCCTTATTGGACATTTTATGCAACTGGTTAATATTCATTCTTATCCATATTTCGATAGTTCGGCTTTTTTTACCTTGTATTTTTGTATTCTACGTTCTGACTTACTCCCTTAAAGTTTTCATTCATAATATGTCAAAATAAACTCTCTCCTGCATTCACAACTACTATCTTTTTGAATGTAAAGAAAGCAACCTCAGCGTATTTAAATATTTCCGTTTTTTAGTGACTGTTTTTCTTAGTTTAAATCACAAAATAATATTATCTAGACTATCAATAATAAGCATTGGCTGGCCTCAGTAGTGCGCATCCACGACCTCGCAAAGAGGAATCAAACCCAGGACATTCGGTCTAGTATACTTTCGCTTAACCTCCAGACCACTGAACCGGGTTCGTATGTTTAACTGTATTTCTGTCAAATATTGGGTATCCAGAAAGACTTCGATTTTTTGACTAAACTTCGTAGGCATTGATTTAAAAATATATCTACGTTGTGCATGTATATTTGATTTTAATTGTTAAATATTTGTTTTGCTTATGTGTATATTTTCATTGATATGTATTACAATTATTAAAATGCAATTTCATTCATTTGTTCATTTTATCGGAAAGAAAACAATTTACTTAAGATCGATTTCACGTTTAATTTTCTTTTCCAGTTTCACTTAACCTGGGTATTATTTGACTAAAGCTTGAGAAAAATCTAGTATTTACTCAGTTTATTATTTTAAAGGTAGGCTAGGAATGTTGCTTTGGTCTACATAACACGCTTATCTGTCGTGGCTAATCCTCAACATGACAATAAATAACCGCAAAGATACCTGTGTAATTTTAACTATAAATGTAATGTCCTTCAAACTCGATCAATATTTTCGATGACCCTGTTGCTAGTGTCTAGCATAGTAAGTACCTTATACTCAACGATTTTCTTCATTGTCCATGTTCTCTATGCCTAGTGTTTACTGTCCCTGATACTACTACTTTGGTATTACTTTTGATAATTCCGTCTTGCTGTGCACCGATACAGGTTCCATATTGCTTGTGATAGACCGACCGATTTTAGTTTTGGCAGCTAGGTAGTATCAACAAATTGTATCAGTCTAATATTAGAAACACTATATATTTATTTGAATTTCGATCGGGGAAATGGCACCAATATAAACGGTTAATTATTTTCTAAATATATCGGTCTCTAATTGTTGTTTTATTGTTTATAA